TTAAAATTTTAATTTATGTCCATGTCTGCTGATCCTTTATCAAACAAAATGAATATGTCTTTTAACCAAAGGAAGGTAAAATGAAGCAGTAAATTAATATCAGTGTAGTTAAATGATGATTCATATTTAAATCTTTCCATCAGGATTCTGGAATTAGACCATTTCTTACTTCGTTCCCAAGCATACTATGTTTCTTCCCCAAACCCCAAAAACTTTAACCTTAGACTGTCCACTATTGACCTCACCCCTTTCCTAAGAGGTCTGTAGGGGGCGTGCATAAGCGCACCAATGTGCCTACAGTCCCTGTCCTATTGTTTCTTTTATTTTTCTTATATGTATCCATGTATCCAACTATGTTTTTACTAATACCTATTATCTTGTAAGCAATTGACAAACCAAATAAAATAAAATAAAATGAAATACTTCAGTCCAGTCCAAACTCGAAGAAGAGATCCGTGCGTGTACAAGAATTACACTTTTAAAATCTCTTGCAGGAAAAAAAAAGGTTACAAGACACAAATTGAATCACTGCAACACAATTACTAGAAAGCTGGGCTTCCCCAGATGCAAATGCACGACCCTTGGCCAACAAACCACAGTAGTTAAGCTACGTTTAAGCTAAAACACCGGGGCAGTCCCTTCAGTCTTTAAAGTGGCTTATAATTTTATTTGTGGTAAACCGTGCGCGTTTTGCACTTCTCCATTTTTCCCTTCGGGGTTTGTTTGAGATTTGTTGATCACAGGTGATAGACGAGCGGGGTTGTTTAAACCCAGCACGAGCAAATGGATTCAGAGAGGGTTCATTTTGTAAGCAGTTGCTAACGACACAACTTTCCGGGCACGGACGTCAAATCGTTCTTACAGAGAGCAGAAGCCGGCTTATTCTCACGAGGAACCACAAGAAATGAGCTGTTCTCTAGAAGCGGTTTCGATCGCTCAACCCCAGGAAGGGACGGCGTAGGGAAGGGCAACGGCAGGCACAGGAAAGGCCCGCAACTCTTACCTTTCAGCTCTCCAGGAAAAGCCAATGCAACCGACCGGCGGCTCTTCGTCTCCACGGCAACCTGCAGGCACAGGTTTAGCCAACTTTCCTTGGGAGCCGAAGCCAAAATGTCAGAGGGCGGCAGCGGAGGCGGGGCCGGGCGGGGTAAAAGCCACGAGGGAGAAAAAAACCAGAAAAAGGAGAGCTAAAGCGCTCGGTTTTGAAGAAAGAGGGGAGGTTTCGTACCTCCTTTTCCTCACTTGCAAAATCTCCGCGATTTCCTTAAGACAAAACAAATTTGCAAAACAAAACAAGCCGGGCGTCGCCCTCAAAAAGACGACTCCTCGGTCCTGACGCAGAAAAGGTACCTCGTCTTCCTAATCTTTATACATTCTCAGTCATCCAAGATTATAGTCTCAAAGGTGCTTTTTTTTCCCCCAAGACGCAACCGGACTTTGTTTTTTTTCTTTGAAGACGTTTCGCTTCTCATCCAAGAAGCTTCCTCAGCTCTGCAGAATGGATGAGAAGCCAAATGGCTTCAAAGAAAAGAAAGTCCAGTTGCCTCTTGAAAAAAAAAAAAAAAGCACCTTTGGGATTGGCTTCCATAAAGCCAAGCTGCTCACCGGGCGCAACTACTTTCGGATGGAAGGCCCTTTCTTTGGCAAGTAGCCAACCCTGAAATTGCAGGATTCCCCCACAGCCCTGTCACCCTCCAGGTGTTGTTGCAAAAAAGGTAGGCCGCCCAACTGTGAGTTTGGTGTCCCATGTTTGCCTTGCTGCTCATGTTCCTGGGGCAGCTGAGCCAATTTCCTTCCATCTGGAGCATGGCACGAAAAGGAATTGTGATGAAGGAGCACCGAAGCTCCGCTGGCTTTGTCTCTTCTTTCATCTTGTCTCAGGCAAGGCATACAGGTAGACGAGTAGTAGTTAAGTATAGGTAGTCCTCGATTTATGACAACTGAGCCCAACATTTTTCTTGTTTAGTGAGACGCTTGTTAAGTGAGTTTTGCACCCGTTTTATAGCCTTTCTTGCCACTTTTGTTAAGTGAATCACTGCAGTTAAGTTAGTAATCCAGTTGTTGACTTTGCTTGTCAGAAGGTTGCAGAGAGTGATCACATGACCCTGGGATGCAGCAACAATCATAAGTATGAACCATTTGCCAGGCACCTGAATTTTGATCACGTGACCAAGGGGATGCTGCAAAGTTCGTAACTGTGGGAAATGGTCATAAGTCACTTTTTTCAGTGCCATTGTAACTTTGAACAGTCACTAAATGAACTGTTGTTAGGTGAAGACTACCTTTACGAACTGAATGCAAGCAATCCAAATGTTTCATCTGACAGTCTGGTCATGCTTTGCTTTGTCTTTACAGCGGATAAAACAACCTGAAAGACATTGTTTAAACTCAAACTCTTTGAGCCAGACTGAATAAACTCGGCAAAGGAGAAGGGTGCGAGCAACTGGCTCGCATTGTTGAAGCAGGTAAGAGTAAAAGGCATCCTTGCAAAGGAACACTCATTCAATTGCCTGTTTTAAGTTTGATGAAATCAACATACACAATCTGGTTAATGTAAAAAATGTTGCCAAAGTACCAGGTCACTCAGAAGGATCTTTAAAATATGCCTGGAACTCCAAGTTGTAGCTTAGATGTTTTTTTCTGCAGATCAAAGCTATGGCCTGTTTCAATGTTAATATTGCAGGCTTTTCTAAAGCCAGCTCAACTCAGACGTTAAGTGGAAAAGCCACAAGATTTGAAGGTTGAATTGATTCCAATTATTAGCTCATTAAATGTATTTTTAGTGTAATTAAATAGTGGAGTTAAAGCAACTGAATTGCTTTCTTCAGTTAATATGCTGTGTGCTAAACCGTGTAGCTCCTTGGATTCAATGACAAAAAGATGCTTGGGAGTATCTAGAATTGCCCACAATTCTTATAGCAACTGTTGTACACAGAGAGAAATCATACCACTCCAAATCTGCAGACTGATTCCCAAAAGAGATACACCTTGTAGATAGAATAGAATAGAATAGAATAGAATAGAATAGAATAGAATAGAAT